GAAACTCTAGAAGGTGAAATTGTAGATAATGAAATGGGTATAATATGTCAGAGTTTATCACAGGATAATGAGTATTTAAATAGGACTGTAGTGAAAACAGAAGTATGTATGAATATTGAACATAAAAATAATGGTGATATGTGTTTGGTTAAGAAAGAGATGACAGCTGACCTTTCCAGAGTTAAAATAGAAAATTCTTGCATGACATCAAGAGAAGGATATAATCAGCCACTGTACACTGAATCTTGTAACTTTAGAGTGAAACAAGAAAAACAAATCTCTCATGTTGTGGCTGCTGTGAAGACTAATCATGGGAAGGAAACCATGACAGAGAATTGTAAACAGACAGAGAAGAAGAGGAAACAATCACAGGGCCTGCTTGGAGATAAGAGTGATGATGAAATGTGTCTAGAATTGGTGCTTGGTGATCAGAGAGGTTCTAAGCACAATAACTTATCCTTAAGTGTTTCACTTAAACCAGAAAGAGACAGTAGTTTAACACATGACAAGGTACAGACAAATAAAATGGATAAATTGTCATTCCCTTTGAAGAATACAAGTAATAACTATAATATTAAGGAAGTGTGTGAAGTGCAGGAAGTTACATTCACACCTGTGAACAAAAGTTCAAAATATCATAATGTACAAAACACTTCAGAACATCTCAAGGATAAGCAGGATGATATGCAAAGCAATGATAATGATACTGCCAAAGTGAGTAGGCAGATTGTAGCAGACACTGTGGTAAAACATCTTATGCCATTCTACAAGGAGAAGAGGATAGCGTCAAGGGATTTGTTCAAATTGTTAGCCCGGCAACTGGCGCAACACTTACTTGAACACTGTAGAACAGGTAAGTTCAGTTTCCTTGCTACATTCTTGTTGTCACATCAAAACATTTTTATGGTGCAAAGCTTATTACCATTTTGACAAGAACCTACCACCAGGCCATATCCTGAATTAGATGAATCCATTTTACTTTCACACTTTTTTTTAAACAATTTGTTCAATATTATTCCCTCTTTAATCCTGTTTCCCAGTGGTCTCACCCATTCAGGTTTCCTGACTAAAATGTTGTATGCATTTTATTTGCCTCATGCTTACATACTGAGTGATGGCAAAGAACTTAAAAATATCAAATTACTGATTGGGTAAAATTTGGAATGCTGCAAGGGTTGAAGCCAAATTTAACAAATTACTGCTGGACATATTACATTTTACATAACTGTACAAGCATGCAGGCAAACTACATGCTTTCTGAACCATTTTTTCACACTACAAAGTTGTAAGTTATTGAAGTATTTGTTTAAAATTGTTACAGATGAAGCAACTGTGAAGAAGTTTGTTGATGTTTTCTTTAAGACCCACAAAACTGTCAGCACTGAATCAGATGTGTGTATTCCACTTGAGAAGTAAAAGGTTCACTTAATTGGATTAATGGCATTGCATTCTTAGAAGGTGCAAGATTAGAATTGATTTCATAATACATAATTCTAAAGGACAATGAAACGTTAAATAAGCGTATTTGTTAATCTTCCTGAAATAAGTTCCACCATGTATTTTCTTTAAGAGGGTATGTAAAGTTTCTTCAAGTTTGTTAGTAAAAGTTTACCACGAAAAAAGGTTAATTTCATTATTTTAATATGTATTTTCTTTACTTAACATATAGGCTACCATGGTGATTGTCATGAGTATTAATTTCAGTTCCATGGGAGATGCTAGTGGGTCACAGGACTATCATTATATGGAGGTTCAGTTTTCATGGAGTGAAACAATGCATATCAAACATCACAGCTGAGACAGGAAGAAGTTTGTGAGTGTCACTAGAGTGTCTCTCAGTTCATACAGGAAGAGTTATGTATATATAAAGGTTCACTGGTGGGTCAGAGGATGAAATTTATACCTGGCAAGACTTGCTTGGAAGCTAATATGTTAAACTGTGTGTATAATATTGGCATTTGGGCATCTTTATAAGCAGGTAGTGAATCATTAGCAGTCTTTGATTTTCTTGCATTTTAATTCACTAATTGCCCATTTTTGCCCTGCTTCCTCTCCTTGGTTAACTTGTCTGTTTACACTTATTCAGGCTGTTTGCAGCAGTGTATCATATATGTCTGGAGGTTGAATATCTGAGGCTTCAGGGTATGCTGCTTTGAGACATGAATAAAACAGACTGTGGAATCCTCCTCCTCTCCCCCCTTCACAGAAGACAGTTTCCACTGTTGCTAGATAAGATTAGTTCTTCTACTTTGCCAACATGAGATTATTTTTTACAGAAAAAGTTCATCCACTGCCAAGACATTGAAGGCATCATGGCTATATGCCTATTATATTATAGTTTGTATGAGTGGTGCTTTTATTCTTAAGATATTCTCTTCTTCTATGGCTCTCTGGTCTGTATTCAGTCCATGGCCTCTCTTCCATTCGGTCCTTCTGTTAGGTCCGTCTGTCCAAGGTTTAGGTTTTGAAACATCATTCTTTTTACGGTGCAAGGTTGTTAGCCTTGCGACCAACCCCCGACCTGGAGGACCAGGGTACCTGTCTTAGTCTGACCTCTCCCCCTCTACCAATCTGGCTAGGGAGGCCCTACCAGTAGCTATGCTACCACCAGCATAGATCTTGGGATCACTGAGGTACTCAAGCCCCACCACCACGACAAGGTGCAGGTACCATTAAGTGGGGATTCTTAAGATATTAAGCTGGCTTATTTGTTTGATGTTTTTGTAACAAACATTCTGTTGAATGTCATGAAAAAGGAAAATAGCCATTTTAGTTTAAGTATGCTCTGTGATAACTTTTGAAACAATTTGTTAATTTTCATTAAGCTTGGAAGGTATGTCAATAGATAATCTAATACTATAATTTAAAGTTCTTGCATTCACTTGGATTATAGTGGTTATACAAACTTTCAGTCGGGAGCAACATGAACCATTCATTGTGGGATCCTATAACTTTGTAGTGGTACTTTGTAAATGATCTTTTCTGGTGGCATGATGAATATAATTTATTTACATTCCATAGATCCTTCTTAGTCCTAAGCCTAGGATGTAAAACATATCATAGCACAAATACAATACTTGTTTCTAATACAGATGTAAATTGCATGGTTATGACTAATTTACAATCAACTACAGTATTACTGTGAAAATAATTACACAAGAAAGCATACCCAATATTGCTTACATATATTATAATAGCTGAGAATTTTTGGTTTAGGCAGGAGCGAGAAAAGAAGATACTCTTTTTGAACTGGCAGAAAGTTCTTTATATAGTGTGGGGGGGGGTGTTGAATAGCTTAATTCCAGTGTAGTAAATTCCTTTTTGATATTTTCTGATTTGTGTTTGGCACATGAAGGAAATCTGTATATTGTGGATATCTGAGTTTGTTTCAAATATTTCTATGTTGTCCATTACAAATGATGAAAATGAGAGCAGGAATTTGCTTGCTAGTGGAAGAATATTAAATTTCTTAACATTTCCCATGAGGCTTTATTCTTCAATTTGTCTTTATGATCCATTAATGTGTATCTTAATATGGACCACAAAAATTCATTTCCACTTTTTTTAAAGTTATTTACATTTTCTATGGGAACTAGGGCTTCCCCCCCCCCTTCCCCCCCATCATGTATGATCATGATTTGACATGGGGCCCAAATGGTCTGTTTAGGTAACATTTTAATGGTGTTTTCGCATACACGAAATCACTGAAGTATAATGTTCGTTCCTGGAGGAACGGGTTTGGACTTACAAGGGTGAGCATAATATGGCAATTATTATATGAAACATATATAGATGGCCGCCCACATTTTCATTTGGATCGTTGGTATTATCTTTTATTGAATGTGATATCATTCATTAAAGCATGCCCGGATTAAACTGACGCTTGTGTAATCTTCAAGGGTATGATTATATTGCATTCTCATACATATAACAGATGGTACTTGTTTTCACATATGAAAAAGGTTTGATACACGAGTCAGGCAGTAGGTAGTATAAGGAAGGAGACTCTGCTTCTGTTATAACATCGGTGATCTGTGGTTTATGCTTCCACGGGTTTTGTGCGTGTTTTCGTTGACATGTTTCAAACTAATCCGTGTTGTGGTGTATATCCCTTTCACGTGAAGAGTGTAGCGGAAGTTGCTAAATTTTAGTCTATTTGGATTGATAATGCTGCGGGCAGTCACAAGTCTTCCACTTCCCGGTTCTCTGCATTTGAGGCTTCGTGAAACGGGATTTGTTTACTATGAAGATTTGTGTGATGGTAAAGGTAGAGAAATGAAAAAATGTGATAAAATAGAGAAACGTGTCAGCGGGGTGTGCACTGTATGTTACTGACCTACGACGTAACCTCATTTCGCTTAAACTATAGGATTTTGTTCCACAAGGCAAAGGTGCTTATAACCCTTGCGCTCTCTTCCTTGAGTAGGAGTATCTCGTATTTCTAGTTCAAGACAGTGCATTCGGATAAAAATTATGTGAAGAAAAGTTTTTTTATTTGTAGGTGTTAAGATTTAAATCACATTTGAAGTCGTTAGGTTGACTGCCAGTCTACACAACAATTTTTTTATACAAGTTTCAGTGTTTATTAAGGATCCACCACATGTTTCAATCGTAATTGGCCATCTACCCGTGGCTGTCTTTAAGTGTTGGAAACTAATAGATATGTCTACATATTTTGTGTTGCTGACTTCATCATATAATGGACTGTGACTTACACAGCGTAGCAATTTTAGTAGAATGAACTATTTAGATGTAGTTATACTGGTGAAAAGCTGTAGTTGAACTCTTTCCAGTTCTGATAGTAGTACATAGTTGTCATTTTATGTGTTCTTTATACAGAATGCATAAAATAAACACAATTGGGATTTGTTTCTTATTTATTTGATGATTTTGTATAAAGTGAGGTTATTTAAATTTATTTTTCCTTATTGTCAGCCCACTATATAATTGTTTTATATGTGGCTCAAATCTAACTTTATCATGTTTCTGAATAAACAGTTTTTCATAATGAATTTAAAACACTTTACTGTTTTGGAAATGTACTTTTATTGAGACATGGAAGATTTTACAGAAGCAGAAAAGATTACATTTATTTATGAATGTATTTAATCATTTTGACCATTTTTCCACATAATCTGTTTGAATTAGCTGGAACTTTCTTCTTTATCTTCCAACCATTCTAATATAATTTGTTCACACCTTTGATCTAGAGACCAGGATCCTGGAATACTAGTACCACCCATAATGTTAATATATATAGGTCCAGTCAGCTAGACTGCTTGCATAAAATAAGTGAATAATTCATGTACATTGACAGCTAGTAGTAGATTGAATTGATAAATAGACTTGTTAGGCTATAAATAACTGCGGATATTGGCTGAACAACTAATGTTGACATTTTGTTTCAGTTTTACAAACAAGACCTGGGTACTTATGACTATGCTAAAAGTGTGTCAGTTGCAGTAATATCAATAGTAATTCTCATGATAATGAAGTAATTTCACTTACTAGAACTATATTCAAGCTCATATTTTGAAATCATTTGAGACAAAAGATTAGTCTTGAGATTAGGTCAAAAAAATAGAGATGTGCAAAAAATCAAATAAACATCACATTGAAGAAAATTTGGAGACTTTACTTAACTGAATAAGAAAATTGTATAAAATGAGGAAGTTCGGGG